AGCCACTCAAGAAAGATACCACGTTCTAAGCGTTCCTAACCACCTACTGCATTCGTATGTGCTTACGTTTTCAGCCAGATCTGTAACTGTACCCGCTTTGGTGGGCCTGCAGACCAAGTGCACGGTCACCTAGGCTCCTTCAACCTTCAGACTCCGCAGCCACCAGAACATGCCAGTCCCTGAGAAACCGAGCCTGAGCACTCAGCGGTGACTGCTCGTTCTGGAAACGGTAAGAGCTATAGTTCAGATGGGAGCAGCACGATTCCCAAAGGGCTGCTGGTCACTCCAACCCCATGCAGGGAGGATCTCAGACACAACCCGAGGGAGGAGGCTGGTGGGACCAATGGGGACACAGGGAAGGCGGCTGGGACGCAGACCATAGGCCTCACCCTTTGGTAAAGACGTGGCCTCCAGGGAGAAAGCCACAAGTGACCTCACTGATGTCAGGCATCCATACGGAAGCACTTAAGTGCAGAATGGACAACTCCCTGTAAAATGTGAGGGGCTTCCTTTCTCCTTCACAACAGAACTCTCTCGGGTGAGGGTGGACAGGCTTCATCAGAGAGACCTGGCTTCGAGCTCCAGGTCACTGGGTGACCCTGGAAAAGTTACTGAACCTCTCTGAATCTCCCTGGTAAAACAGGGGGAAATGCTGCCTGCCACACGAAATGATGTGACATGTAGAAAGTGCCCAGCACACAGCGGCCTTTGATAAGCATTCAATAACTCAGTGTCTTAGATATTATTATGGGGTCGGTATCTCCAGCAGCTTCTGCTAACAGCTCTTCTTCACCACTTCCCTGGCTCAGTGTAGGTGAACTGCTCCAGATTAGCACTGACCAACAGACACATCATGCGAGCCAAATCTCTAGATTGCAGTTTTCTAGCAGGCCCATTAAAAAAGGTAAAAAGAGGGCGCCTGGGTGGCTCAGTTGGTTAAGCGACTGCCTTCGGCTCAGGTCATGATCCTGGAGTCCCGGGATCGAGTCCCACATTGGGCTCCCTGCTCGGCAGGGAGTCTGCTTCTCCCTCTGACCCACTTCCCTCTCGTGCTCTCTATCTCTCATTCTCTCTCTCAGATAAATAAATAAAATCTTTAAAAAAAAAAGGTAAAAAGAAATGAGAAATTCTTTTTGATAATGTTTTATTTAATCTAACATATCAACATATTATTTCAATCCATAACCAGTATAAAAATTATTACAAAATATTTTACATCCTTTTTTTATACTAAATCTTTCAAATCAGCATATACTTACACTTATTTACGGCACGTCTGAATTTGGATGCTTACCCTTTTGGTGCTCAATGGTCACACATGGCTATGTCGAGTCACCCTGCTGGACCGCACAGGCCCAGTAGAAGGAGCTGGGTCACCCTCCCTGTTCAGAGCTAAGTAGCCTGGATGTTGGTAGAAGTTTGGGCCTGTGTTTAAGATGCAAGAACTCTCCCCCTGGTCCCCATTCCCAAGGATAACAACTATTTTTGCAATACTCTCCAGGCGAGTTTGAAGAGAAGAGAAAGGCAAATTACCACAAAAACAAACGGTTTATTTATTTATTTTTTCTATCCATAGCAAATTAGTAACAATACACAATCACACAGAACCTTGCCTCTCCGGATGGAAAGCATACTCTTTATTTATACAAATGAAAAAACCAAGCACCTTGGCTTTGACCTCGGGCCAGCAAGGTCATCGGGATCATCAGGACCCCGACAGGACATGGCGAAACGGATCATTTTCGACAGAAGGGAGTGCTGGTGTTACCTGGGGATTCCCACCCCCAGAGGGGCCCAGAGAGCCACAGATAATGAGAGCTAAGGAGGCTGCAGTAATCTGGGCCAGCCCCCGGATCTACAGAGCTCTGGGTTCACCTACATTCAGAGCTGAGCATGTGAACTTGGGTATAAAACAGACGTTAAGGCTTGGGGAGAAAAAAAAAAGCCCTAGAAAAGATGGAAGCTGAAGGAAACAGAATGGTCTATTGAAGAAACACCTTATCCTCTGCCTCATGCTAGTGTCAAAGTAAGAAAAGACCTGAGACTTTAAAACAATGAAACTGGACCACTTTCTTACACCATACACAAAAATAAACTCAACACAGATTAAAGACCTAAATGTGAGACCTGAAACCATACAAATCCTAGAAGACAGCACAGGCGGTAATCATTCTGACATCAGCTGTAGCAACATTGTTCTAGCTATGTCTCCTGAGGCAAGGGAATAAAACACAAAAATAAACTAGTGGGACTACATCAAAATAAAAAGCCCTGCACCATCAACAAAGCAAAAAGCAACCATCAACAAAACAAAAAGACAACCTACTGAATGGGAGAAGATATTTGCAAATGATATATTCAATAGGGGTTACTATCCAAAATTTATAAAGAATTTATACAACTCAACACCAAAAAAAGCAAACGATCTAATTAAAACAATGGGCAGAGGACCTGAACAGACATTTCTCCAAAGAAGACCTACAGATGGCCAACAGACACATGGAAAGGTGCTCAACATCACTCATCCTCAGGGAAATGCAAGTCAAAACCACTAAGAGGTATCACCTCACACCTGTCAGAATGGCTAAACTAAACAAGACAAGAAACAAGTGTTGGTGAGGATGTGGGGAAAAAGGAACCCTCGTGCACTGTTGGTGGGAATGCAAACTGCTGCAGCCACTGTGGAGAACAGTATGGAGGTTCCTCAAAAAGTTAAAAATAGAGCTACCCTATGATCCAGTAATTCCACCATTGGGTATTTACCCAGGGAAAATGAAAACACTAACTTGAAAAGACATATGCACCCCTATGTTTATTGCAGCGTTATTTACAATAGCTTTATGGGTAAAGAAAATGTGTACACACACACACAATGGAATATTAAACAGCCATAAAAAAGAGATGAGATCATGCCATGTCAGATAACGTAAACAGACCTAGAGGGTATTATGCCAAGTGAAATGTCGTCAGAGAGAGACAAATACTATATGACTCCACTTATAAACAGAATCTAAAAAAAATGAATAAACAAAAAGCAGAATCAAAACTAGAAGTACAGAGAACAAACTGATGATTGCCAGAGAGGTTGGGGGTACAAGGTTGGGCAAAACAGGTGAAGGGGGAGAGGGAATGAGTTACGGAATGAGTAAGGCACGGCAATAAAAGGCACGGCAATAAAAAGCACAGCAAAAGGAATACAGTCAATATTATAACAATGTATGGGGACAGATGGTACACTTGTGGTGAGCACAGCATAATGTATAAACTTGTCAAGTCACCAAGTTGTACACCTGAAATCAATATAATGTGTGTGTCAACTCTAGTCAAATTAAAAAATTAAAATAAAAAAATAAAAACAATGGGACTCTGGAATGCCAATTAAAAAAAAATCAAATGAACAAAAATTTAAAAATCCTCAGTAGAGATTCTTTTAAGAAGAGGTCTCCTTGGGGCGCCTGGGTGGCTCAGTGGGTTAAGTGTCTGCCTTCAGCTCAGGTCATGATCTCAGGGTCCTGGGATCGAGTCCCGTGTTGGGCTCCTTGCTCAGCGGGAGTCTGCTTCTCCCTCTGCCGCGTCCCCCTGCTCATGCTTTCTCTCTCAAATAAATAAATAAAATCTTAAAAAAAAAAAAAAAAAAGAACAGGTCTCCTGGAAACCAGAGATGGGCCCATTAACTGTGCATGATTCTTTCCAGACTTAGGAATCTCCACTTGCCCTAATGGCACTTGGAAAGACAGGCTTATGATGACATTTGGCCACATGCCACTTTCCACAGAAGAAGAACTCAGTTGTACAGAGAGTTTTGTGAGGGCAAAAGAAGGGCAATTCTAAACTCGCTTTTCTACTTGACCCTCAGCCTCTATACAGTTTAACGCCCCAGATGAAGAACAAAAAGCAAACTGAAACAGTATCTGTGTCCAGGTCACTCTGAACATCTTTACCTTAAATGACACGCAGAGACCAGGAAAAGACAAGGAAATGGATTTAAGGTACCCAAGTTCCAAATACACGAATCCACTCCCATCTGTGTCATTTTCTGTTTGTTTTTTCAACAAGCTGGAGAGAACGTGCAGGAAGAATGGCCCCTGACTGAGCTAACCTTATTCTTCACAGAGCCGAGAATGGGCAGGCTCATTTCCTAGATGCTAAAGATGGTTCTCCCTCGACGCGCACGTCCAACACCGCAATCCTGGCTTCCTGCCTGGGGAAGACTCACCATGACTTCACTACCTTCTCTATCTCTAAATGACCAAAACCGACACCCGGCAGAATAGTTAAGGTATTGAGAACCTGTCATGGGCAGAAATATTGGGAGTTAGACACTATTCTCTGAAACCTTCATTGTGGGTTCAGAATCAAGTTACCATTTCATGCATATTCATTCCTTTTGACTCCCCCAGAGGCAAGGTTTAGAGTTTTTTTGTTTTTTTAGGTTTAGAGTTTTAATTCAATTTTTAATCTAGCCTGAAATATATACTTCAGTGTTCAATGATTTGAAACCTCCTCTGAGCCATCAGGGAATTAAATGGATTAAAAGCTTTAAGGAATATGAATATAAATGTGTGTGCTTGTGTGTATCCATATGTTCTATGTTTGTTTCACTGTCCAGGGAGCATCAGGAATTATAATCCCTATTCCCTTTGGTGCTCATTGAGGAGCAAGTGAACCTAACAGTGGGCAAAGAAAGTGTGTACAGAATTCAACACAACACAATACACGGTCACCAAAAGGCTTCAGCACTCAATCCAGAGTAACAGTGTCCTTGCTGGTGTCTTACTTGGCTCAGAACTTTGGTTCAACCCTCATCTCTGCCCCTGTCCCCCAGTGGAAGCCCTCCTGGGGAATTCTGTCTGTGCTCGTAAGCCAGTGAGGGTAGGCTCCAGGCAAGCCCATGAGAGCAAGGGAAGGACGTCCCCAGAAGAGTCTCTAAGGTTGTAAAAACACAAAACAGAAAGTGCCACGAAATGCCTTGAGCCCACCATCAAATAGTCAAAGCAGTGTTTGGTGACAGGTGTTTAATAAGGAGGCCTGCGTAGCCATCCAGGTGAGCAGAGCCATCCCTGTACAGGGGGACTACCATAGCTGAGTCTGCACCACTGGGCATGGTGTGGTCAGCGGGACCTGAGGGAGCCTCTCGGAGCAGGAAGACACAACACAGTCCATTCTCTACAGCAGCCCAGAGACCCATGGAGAGAGTTCTCCTTCATGCTGTGAGAAGCGGTGGACTCACCATCCCTGCTTTCTTCCCTCTAACACACTTGACAGGGAGGTCCGACGTCCAGGGGCTGTGTACCCCAGCTGGCACCCGTGAGTCGACTCTTCCTGCCCTTAGGAGCCCTTCCGCTCTGAGAAAACCAGCAAGGCCTCTCCAAGTCCACCGAGCAAGAGGCTGCAAAAAACAGCAAGAGGTCAGCTTTCCGGTCCCTTGAGCCTGGAAGCCGTGGACCCACCGAGCTGCCCAGCACCCACCTGCAGCAGGGCAAGGGATCCTTCATTCTGTGGCGGGGACTCTCTCGTCCCCCCCATCCCCCGAGCCTGCCCTGCTGCTGGGTCTGGCCCTGTAACTGCCTGGTCGTCCCAAGTGGACGCCAGAGGTGAGCCGGGAGGGGGAGTGGGCTGCAAGGTGGGGTTTGCTCCTTCCCCCTGGGAAGAAGGTGGTGTGCCTCACTCATCCTGGTCCAGTGGAGCTGACTGTGCTCCAGCAAATGTTCTGCCGCAGACACAGAGGGGAGACGGTGTCCCATGTAGCCACTGGGGGCTTTCTGCTGGTGAGGGTTGATGACGGAACACCACGCAGGTATCCATAACCTTATCGTTATTGAGGTGACGGTCTCCGAACCCTGTTATTTCATCGAAACTAACAGAACATTTAGAGATGAAAATACTAAAGGCGAATCACGAATTTCCCGTCAGAGCAGAAAGAAATATGGTCAGCGATTCGAAAATGAAAAGGTAGTGGGAAAACTGCAGACGGGAAGAAGGAGGAGTTAGAATATTTTAACATGCCTCAAATTGAGTACATCCAGGGGTCTGTACATTTTCTGTTTTAAACTTCTCTGTAGACAATCTGCTGTCTGTCTGAATCCCCAGCTTCTCCCCACAAAGCCTTCTGGTCACTGGGCTGGGCCATCCCTGCAGGATTATGATGGGAGGTCCCTGGTGATGGAATGCCCTTGGTCAGAGGTGCCAAGAGCCTGTCAGTTCTACGTGTGCGACCCGTCTTCTCCCACCTCCCCCATGTACCCATACGCCACACACTCACATTCAGCGAATGGTGTCCTTATGTTTCTGACGTACGCCCGGGGTACCGACTCTATGAAACACACAGAGGCTGTGCACACTACATTCCCAGTGAGAAACGTCACCTATGTGATGACTCCAACATAAAGCTAACTTTACCGTTTGCCCCGTTCGGCACAGGAATGAACTGAGCGTGAGACTATTGAAACAATACACTGGGTTCAAACTGTGGCTCAGGCACTGATTAGCTACATGATCCCGTGCAGGCTTTTCAGCTTTCGCCTCATCCGGGCCACGGGAGGTGGGCACATCCAGCGGTCTCTGTGAGGCTGAAAGGGATATACATGAAGCCATCAGCCCCCACACTTGGCCTATAATGGACAAGCGATAAAATACTATCCTGTTGACTAGTTGACCGCCGCCCACCCTGAGAGCTGACCTCCCGACTCTGCTTGAAGACTTCACATGAGGGGCACGGCCCGCTGTTGAGCAGCCGGCCACGGGGTTCAAGCCAGCCTCGATGGGCATCTTACTCATGGAAGACCCTGGGCAAATGGTACGCCCTCCAGGCATAAGTCCTTCCTCAGACCAACCCAGCAGCTGCTTCTTACAACCTCACCTCTGAGTCCAAGTTCTGCTTTCTAGAGCACCAGAGACCAGATCTACGCCCTTACCCCCAACAACCCTAGAGAGCGGGGGACAAGCCCCAAACCACCATCCTCTCCTGTCCCTGTGACTGAAGCCTCCGGGGGAGAGCAGAGGCACTCGCCAAGCAGCCAGTCACTGGGGAAGGGGGCCAGGAGGGTGTCCCACCCCCCAGGGGAACAGCTGGGATGGAAAGGCAAAGGGCGTGAGGGGGATGTGTGCCTGATATCCGAAGCTCCAAGTTGGAATGTACTTTCTTCTTTGTACAGAAATATTAGAAATAGTGACAAGAAGCCGATAAATTCTCTTGAACGCGCATTTAACTCATAATAATGTAACTGAGGTTAGTATCTACGTTATAAGCAAAGCAAATGTCTGAGGACCTTCCTAGATCTATAATCACTGTTCACAGGATTGTTTCTGTGAGAAACTGGGGTCCAAGTTCCAAAAGACCATATTTGGAAACACGACCCATTTGTGCTGGGCCCTGGTCTAGTTCCGGGACGTGGGAGGGCCCTATCGCCTCTTCTCTTTGGATGAAGAAGTAACTGTGAAGGGGGAAGCCATTCTTCTGGTACAGAGGCTCCTTTTATGCAGATCTACTGTTCCTTTCAACATCCCTTAAGGAACACACACACACACACACACACACACACACACACACACACACACACAGTCTTCTTAAACCCCTCCGGGGCAAGTGCGGAGTCATGGTGACCTGGCGCAAAGGCTGCACAGGCCCTTGGGCTGGGGAGGGGCTTATTTCTGCAACATAACCGGGGGCTCAGTCATTTCTACAGCTTCCAGTAATCCTCCTTAGTCACCAGGGAGAAGTACAGGCCATGGGCTGGCTCGTTGCCCCTTCTCCCCCCACAGCCTTAGAACAATGCCCAAGTGTAATAACCTTGCATCTCATCCGTTGGGCTTAGCTATTGCATGAAACACCAAAGCAGCTTAGTGAAGGCTCAGAAAGGAAAGGAACCTTGGTTCAGTTTACTGGCAAGAGAGCCAGGGAGGTGAGCTTTGATGTTGTTTTCTAAACAGCAGGAGAAGCTGACACAGGGTGCAAGAATCTTAACAGCATTACAACTATTTAAGTCAGAGCCTCACTGAACTGTTTGCAAGTCTTGTAATCCCCACCATTCCTGAAGTGAACACACTTCAAGCAACTAAGCCATACACACCAGGGTAGAGAGCACACCCAGCCAGAAATATTCAGCACTAGCTTCTCTTCCGGGGGGGGGGAGGTTATTCTCAGCACCCCTCCAATCCTTCTCTGTCCTCCCATCAGAAGAGGCTCAATTTTACATTCGCTACCGTGCTTATTCAAGCACCTACTGACCCCATGAGATGGGGGTCACTGTACCCTTTGCCGGCTGGAGGCCCAGTACTTCATGCAGCACCCGATACATATTTTCTCAATGAATGACGATAAATTCTTATCCTTGCTCGCCCTCCTCCCGTCTATATTCCAAACGATTTTGGCTTTTTCTCTTTTCCTCACCAAAAGATATCTGCCTAATGTACCACTCCCTTGGAGACTTGCTGAGGGACAGTTCATATTCTGATAAATTATTCTGCGTTGAGAGGTAATTAGTGATAGTTATGTAGAAAGCCCTTCTTGGCATTTTAGAGTTTTTAACTAAAGTGGAAAACTGATAAATTTCAGTCACTGTGACCCTAGCTGCACTCTGGGATGCACTTGGGGGAGTACTTCCTTCACCCCTAAGTTCACTCTTCCAATAAAGGGGTTTGGGCAGTCTCCACGCAGTGTCCTGAACTTAAAGGCATGAGACATCGTTACTCAAAGATGGTATGAGACCACTTTCTAAAGACTGCTGGTGTTAGTGAGGTTTGTGCTAAGATCGAGCATGACGGTAACCCATGATCAACGGCAGGCTCCGTGAATGATTGGCAAAGGTGAGAAGTGATCACAGAATCCTCAGAACAAAGAAGTTGTGTTTTGGTTATTTGTTTTCTCTTCTTGTACCTCAACTATTGCAAAGACAAGACAGTCTCTCCTGGTCCAAAAAGGATTCAAAGAAGGGGTACCCACAACTAACTCTACTCAACAGGGACACTGCTCATAGTTCAGAATTTTTTCTTTTGTATGTCTTAGATCCCCTTTGTTGAAATTTTGGTTTAGAGGAAATTCATATCGATATATACCATAAAACTCTGTTAATTAAAAGTGAATAATTAAATATTAATTGGGATATTTAAATTCGGGGCTTGCAGTAGATTGTTTTTGTAATTAAAAACAAGGTAATTTGCTGGACAAGAGCAGTTGCTTTTAAGAAAAGACTTTAAGGGGCGCTTGGGTGGCTCAGCCGTTAAGCGTCTGCCTTTGGCTCAGGTCATGATCCCAGGGTCCTGGGATCGAGCCCCACATCGGGCTCCCTGCTCAGCAGGAAGCCTGCTTCTCCCTCTTCCTCTCCCCCTGCTTGTGTTCCCTCTCTCTCTGTCTCTCTCTCTCTGTCAAAATAAATAAAATCTTAAAAAAAAAAAAGACTTTAAAAGTTGACCAACATCGGTACTTAGGTTTATAATTTTTCTTGCATACAGGAATTAGAAGGCTGGCCATGCATTTATTCAGCCCTTAGGGCTAGGTGGAAAGACGCACAGGGGCAGGACTATGGTTCCCCTCCTGGAGGAGCTCACAGCGGCAGGCAGATGGGGTATGCACACCCACCTGTCACTCAGCATGGTGTGAGCTGATGGGGCTGTGTGCAGAGAGGGTGGGAGGGGCTGCCGAGGACCTGAATTATCTGGTCCCAAATGTCAAAGTGCTGAGGTGAAAAACCCTAATTTTATTTTATTTTAAAGATCTTTATTTATTTGAGAGAGAGAGAGAGAGAGAGAGAGAGAGATTGAGCATGAGCAGGGTGAGGAGCAGACGGAGAAGCAGGCTGCCGTATGGGCAGGGAGCCCGATGTGGGGCCCCACCCCAGGCCCCTGGAATCATGACCTGAGCCGACGGCAGAGGATTAACCAACTGAGCCACCCAGGTGCCCCGAAAAACCCTACTTTAAGATCATGAGCTGTTCTGTGCAGCTAAAGCTGCTGCTGCCCCTGCCCCCCAGAAGGCAGATAATGATGCATCGTGCACTCATTTCCTGGATGGTGACCTCGCTGGGGCCACAGACTGTGTCGATAGCCTCAGAGCCCATCAAACACTTTTTTGTGAAATGAATGGATAAACGAGCAAATGGAGGTTGGGATGTAGCTGATACAGGGTCCGCCAGCCTGGCGTGGGGGAGGCTGTGCTGACTTCGATAGTCCATGCCCACATAAGGGGGCCGCCTCTACCTATTCCAGCAACCAGTGCCATGCGGAAGTACAGGCCCAACGTAACTGTTGGTCCCCATTTTCAACAGAATCTGGAAATCTGGACCCTTATGGGGAAATCACCTGATTTCTCACCGTTAACTAATTTAAAATTTGCGACCCAAAAAACAAGAAACAATGACGATACAGGCAAACATGGTAGGTCCCAACAAAACAGTTCTGCGGTGCCTGCCCTTTGTGACTTCTGATCAGTCTAAGCTCCCACAAGCCAGAGGGCAGCCCCACCCTGGCCCCAGCTCCGGGAGCTGGTCACCCAGTCTCAGCCTGAGCACACCGCTATATGGCCAGTGCAGACTAGCTCTGTGCAAAAGACAGAATGTCTGAAATACGGTCTGACACTCCTCTTCTGGTGGCTCACTCTGTGGTTGGAAAATTCTTTGAGGCTGAAAACACACCATCCTTAAACTCAAGAGTTCTCAAAAATCAGGAAATTCCAAAGTCAAGGTTCCTTTTGCAATAATCACACATGCTGTTTCCTTGATTTGAGTACACACAGCCTTTCTTTCCATTTTGTGCAGGGCATACCATAAAGCTCACAGGATGTGAAAGAGCCTGGAGGCTTGGCTTCTTACAGACTGCTGCTGAGATACTCGAGCTTAGCACGTCCCCCCTGCCGGAGAGCCATCTGACTCCGCTAGTTCTCACACTCACTTCCACAACTGGGTTCTTAAAAGTTCATTCTGAAATTCTGGACAAAACAGAGTTGGTGGAGGCTCATCTGTGAGAAAGAAAACCACCGTCAAGAATCTAGACTACCACCATGAACGTGAAGATACAGACATTTGGGGAAGAGTCTCAAGAATGTAGCAGGTATCTTGGCAGTTGGGTGTCTGGACGTCACCTGCCTGCTGTGGGTGTCAGGCCTTCCTGGAAGGACAGGTGCAGGGGAAGAAGGAGGGGGCACAGGATTAGCTCCCTGCCCCACAGCCCCAGCTCTGGTTCCAAATCACTGACTCTCACCATGGGCACCTCCTGCCTCTCCAGCCTTCCCTGTCTTCCCGGGGCCAGAGGGCCCAAACCCTCTCCCCCCCATAGCCTCACTAAGCCTCTCTGTTCTGCATAAGGTCCACGTCAGGCCAGTTCGACAGCCCTCTGATGGCCCGTCCTCTCTCCTTCCTTCGGCCCTCGCGTTTGCTGTGCATTCAGACCACGGCTCTCTTATCCCACAAATTATCTTTATGATTTCCCTGCCCCTTCGCCTCCTTGAGGGCTGAATGATGACTTATTTTGCATGCAGTAGTCACTCAATAAATATTTTTAGCTAACTGATAGAATTATATAGTATTAAAAAACCTAAGACAATGAGATCTTTTTCCTATCATTTCACTGGACATTCTTAGTTCACCATGTCAGCCCTTGAACAAGAAATAGAGCTGTCTCGCCCTGGGTAACGCTCCTTCTGTGTTGCTGTCGAATTATCTAGAAGTTCTTTATAGATGGTCATACTGGTGAGAAGAGGAATATATAGGCTAATTTCTCTTATAACTCCACTGCTGGTAAATCCTTGGTGTTTGCCTAGTCAGTCGTAAGGAGGTACATGAAGGTTATGGGACTTTGGACACACACAGGTCTGCTTTTGAATCCTCGTCCAATCATAGTAGCTATAAAATCTTGGAAAAATAACAATATATATAAAACTAGTGGTTCACCAGTAGTGCTTACGCTCGTGTGGACGAGTGGCTGAAAGGTGATGTGATGTTCTGTTTCTTGATCTGGGTGCTAGCTATAGTAGGTTCGGGATAATCAGTTTGTGGAAATTCATAAAATTGCATATTCATGATATATATGTACTCCTCGGAATGTATATTTACAAGTCAATAAAATATAGACCCCAAACACCCTTTCTTCAACATTTGAGAGAAAAAAAATAGTATCCTGATGAAACCCAAACAATGAATTTGTTTTTCCTCTCTCTGTGCAAAAGACTTACCATCCCACCGTTGCACTGGTCAGGGTCATATCAAACAGCAATACTGATGAGCCAGCTGTGATGACCTGCAGAAATAATTTCAACAAAAGGCCATCAGACCAGCAGGACTTGGGTAACCTTCTCCAGAGTCCTTGTTTACAAGCTGAGTTCATGTTAGTTCAGATGCCAGACATAACCCGTTTCTACTTCACGTCCTTTCCCCCCACACACTTGCTAGGCCGCTGTATTTAGTGCTCCCTCTGAGGTAAGTGTTTGGTGGAAAAAATGCTAAGTCCTAGTCTATTTGGGAGGTGAGAATCTTCAAAGAAACATTTAACTTCCCAACTCTCCAAAAGAGGAGGCACATAGCCAACATCTCACCCAACTCTCTCCAGGGCAGGGAGCTAGTAAGAATATGCATTTCCATCTTGTCTCAATGTGCAGACATAATCCCCAAGGCCAGTTGTGCTCATCTACCTGTTCCCACATCCTCCAGATAAGAGGATGTCACCCTGCCTTTGCCCACAGCACCATCTCTCACCCTGTCCTTACTAATGCCCCATCTTTCTGGCCCACGATAGAAGTTTTAAGAAACCAGGTGTTTCCTGGGGGAGGGAAAAATTAAATCATTAATTAATTATTTGCAGGGGCACCTGGCTGGCTCAGTTGGAGGAGCGTGTGACTCTTGATCTCAGGGTAGAGTTGGAGCCCCACGTTGGGTGCAGAGATTACTAAAAAAAAAACTTAAAAAAAATATTTGCAAATACCTAGAGGCCAAAAGAGAGGGAAGAGGTTACCCCCACATCTCTCAAAGCTAGAAATGACAGAAAAGTCTCTTTGGAATGGCAGTAATGGGACTCACACTCCTACAGTATCACTAAACAGGCAGCACAGAGAGTGTGGGTGAACCAAAGACCCAACTTTGTTACCAGTTGGAATGCCGGCTCAGGAAAAGATGTTTTTTTCCCAGAATTCTGTATTCTAAAATCCAAGACAGCTTCCATTGGGAAGGTGAGCCTACGGACTTGCTTTCTTGCAATGGGAAGCAGAAGCAGGCTGTCGTGGGATGGGTTGCTCAGTCTGGACACCCTGGGAAATGTGAAAAGCCATCATGCTGTCCTGGAGACCTCTTCAGGTCTCCAATCTGGGAACCAGGCAGCAAGCAGGTGGCCAGAAGGAAGGAGAATGGTTACATGAATCTCATCCTTATTCGTGTACCATCTCAAAAAGAAGTATGGAAATACAAACCAGGAACCTTCAGTACAGAAACTGCGAGGTTTCAGAACCCGTGTAATTTACCCACTTGAGGTCCCTCTCTGTTTGCTTCTTTTATGGATTTCCAGCAAAAACCCTGACAACAAAACAGACCTGTGTTGTCTTCAGGAAAAAAAATGAGGTGGCAACCAGGTCAGTGAGACAGCTGTAAAGCAGAACCCGAAGACCAAGGGGAGAGAGATTTGTCAGTGCTGGGGGGAGGGGGGCAGGATGAATGGCAGTGGATCTCCTACCCTCCCCTTGTTTCACTTAACATTATACTTAGGACATTGCATCTATGGAGGGGGCCTAAAATTTTATTAGCTTGCCACGCAACTGTCTGGTTTTGGAAACAAGGTTATACTGACCACATAAGTTAGTGCTTCCGCTTCCCTGCTTACCTTCCTATAAAGGATGAAGGTGATCTTTACTGCGGACGTTAACTCTGACTTCAACCCCTTTGGGCCTTGGACTTCTCGTTGGGACTGGCCTTTAACGGCCACCGTCCTAATCAAATCTGCTCTTTCTCCCTGATTCAAGTTTGTCATTTTCCCTTTTTCCAAAAATGTGTTTTGTCTAGGTTTTCCAACTCATTAACATTTCGCTATTTGGAAAAAAAATACTGTTTTTTTCCTCATTTGTGCCCACTTTTATTACCTTCCCTTTTATTCGTACTTTTACTGTCATTTTCTCTTTTTTTTTTTCCTTCCTTAGTCTTAACCAAAACTCAGCTTGTTAATCCCTCTTTACTTTTGCCACTTCTTGGGTATTTCCTGTGATGGAGCCGATGGGGATTTCTTAGAACTGCCGAAACAGGCTCCGTTCTACTGATGGATGGCCGTGATGTTGGCAGCTTGGCGTTAACAGAACACCTCCCTACATTTATGAAGGGCCCAAGTGGCCTTTCGTCATTCTTCACCATTGTCTTCAGGTTCTCCCCTTTTCACCAGCTCTTCACGGCCTTCTCTGATGGGCTTCGTCCCTTACTCTCTGATTGCGTCTCTCACACAGCTTTCCATCTAGCATGGGAGGCCGCCACCTCCCACATGGCCTGCAGTCCTCATGGGCTGGGAGGCGCGCCTCCCTTCCTCCGAGCACCTCTCTAGCACAGGAGGAGTCCCATCTGCCGTGAGACAGACAACCGGCCTGTTTATTCCTATTAACCGCACCTTTTGCCAAGAAAAACACATCTTAAAACTTCCAAACCAGCCCTTACTTAAACTCACATTGGTTGAGTAGCCACACTGGAGCCTTGGCCATGTGCTGCTTCCTGGAAATGTTTGTACAGTCTCCTGCCTTTCTCCCGGGGCACTTTTTCAGACTTCTCTAAAGTTTTATCTCTCAATGAGCACCTTTTTGGCTGGCTGAGACACTCACTAAAATGTCACAAAGAGGTGTGTCTTATTTCTGTAATGAATGTATGGTGAAGTTGTCTATGCTACGGAGCTACTGTAAAGCTCAAGAGGCCACCCCGTGATCTCTTCAGTAAGAACCATCAGTTTCTGGGGCTTCTCTACTTTCTTTTGCTTCCATTGCCAGCCCTAGCAGTCAGCACTGGAGGCATTTTCTCTCTCTCTCTCTCACACACACACTCACCAAAGTTCTACCACTTCACAAAAGTCACTGCCGAAGATGGGAAGAGTAGCGGCCAACAACGCCTCGCTAAGAGGCAGACACTGGGCAGTCGGCTAGCCTGACTTGCCCACTAAGTGACTTGCACCCACACATCAACCTCACCATGTGTGAGGTTCAAATTCCTCCCTCAGCAAAGTGGAAGATTTCTATATGCCAGGGGCTGCTCAAGAACACTCAAAAGTGGGAATGATACACCTGCTCATGCCAAGGGTCCAGTCCACTTCCAGTTCCACTGAGGAACAAACAGAAGCCAGGAGTAGCTGAGGGTGCATGGCTGGGTGCAGAGTGTCCTACGCATGGTCACCTAGAGGCAGGACCTGAGAGGGGGGAAGGGGCTCCCCAAGATCAAAGGTGGGGGAACTGTGACTGAGAGAGGGAGGCTCCAGGGGCCTGGGACCCTCACAGCAGGTTAGCCTCCTCTCACAGCCAGAAACTCAAGAAAGGGCCCACACCAGCTCCATACAGCTTTTTGTTTTTTTTTAAGATTTTATTTTTTAAGTAATCTCTTACTTAAAGAGATACTCGAACTCGCAACCCTGAGACCAAGAGTCGCATGCTCTACCGACTGAGCCAGCCAGGCGCCCCTTCATATGGCCTTTTTAGAAAATAAGAATCCACTGAAAGCAGGAACTCAAACAGATTTGCACACCCGTGTTCGTAGCAGTATTATTCACAATAGCCCAGATCTGGAAGCAACCCAAGTATCCATCAATGGATGAATGGATCAGCAAAATGTGGTACATTCAGCCTTTAAAAGGAAGGCAATTCAGACACATGCTACAGCATGGATGAACCTGAAAGACATACTAGGTGAAATAAGCCAGATACAGAAATACAAAATACAAATGTGGTAGGATTCCACTTATATTAGGTACCTAGAGTCATCACATTCATAGAGACAGAAAGTAGAATGGAAGTTACCAGGGCTTGGGGGGAACTGGGAGTGGGGAGTTAGTGTGAATGGGGACAGAGTTTCAGCTTTGGATGACGAAAAAGTTCTGGTGACGAATGTTAGGAAACGTGTAAACTTTTTTTTTAAGCCTTTAAAATGGCTAAAATGTGCTCAAGAAACAGACTTTGAGTTACTCCTAGAACTTGCCATTCAGGAGACTTCAGTAGCAGCCCTTAAATAGCAATTGTTGTTCTTGCTTTCAGAAAGCATGTTTAAAAATACAAATTCTCCCCCCCAGAAGAAAGAGTCCTGTGGTCTGAGGAATGTCTCAGTCGTACACACAGATCTGAACAACAAACACCAGGACCAGCCGCGGGCTGAGGGATGCCAACAACAGCAGAGCTCAATACATCGTGCCGGCCAACGGGCCTTTGAACTTCCTGGCTTTGTCAGCGGATGTCACAACCTCTGTTATTGAAGCAGATTTTGGTATTTAAAGCAGATCAGGCTTGTTTTTTAAACATGCATTCCGATCCTAAGACAAATTTTCTGTTTGTCCAAAGTGAAAGGGGAGTGGTGGTTGGTGGGAACCTGCCAGACAATCATGCATTTAGGGGGGGATCAGAGAGTTGGGCTTGTTGTTTGTGATTGCTTTGTTGTTGTTGTTTAAACACATGCGACTTAAGAAGAAAGGGACCGAATGCAGCACAGAGAAAAGGCCTTGCACTGTCACTGCCTCGGGGACTGCCCGCACCTCCCACTTAAACTCATTGTAGTGTTTCTAACACGGTTTCACACCATCATGTTTGCTCAGCAAAGACCTTCTGCCTGGAACAACTTCACACAATTGGCCTCCCCACACTATTCCTGCTCGCTTTTGAAAATCCATTTCTAGAAAACTTCTACAGCTTTAAAAAAAATAAGAGATTTATTTATTTTAGAGAGAGGGAGAGCGCACAAGAGCATGGGGGGAGGGGGAGAGAGAGAGAGAGTGGGAGAGAGAATCCTCAAGCAGACTCCCTGCTGAGCACAGAGCTGACAAGGGGCTCGATCCCAGGACCCTGAGATCATGACCTTAGCCAAAACCAAGAGTTAGATGCTTAACCGACTGAGCCACCCAGGCGCCCCTAGAAAACTTCTATGAACCTGACTCCCCCACCCCATCCACACAGCTGGGTGGATCAGGCACCTCTTCCAGAGGCTTCCATACCCCTTGGCACTGCACGCGCCAAACTATGGAAATGTGTGGTCTCCCCCACCAGGGCCTATTATGTTCCTCTCTGTATGTTCTACAGAGACCCACAC